GTGGATTTGAGAAATTGCTAGTAATGGGACTGAATGTTCAAAGGAGAGCATGATCATGTTATAACAAGAGTGCCAAAGAGAAAGGGCCACTGAAATGTAACACCAGATGGCAAACGGATGCTGACTATACAGGTGAAAATATTTGGTTACTGGGGTCCAACAAGTTAATGACTAACCCATGAAGAGTGTAAACTTTAAGCTACCAAAGGGGAAGAGCTTTATTATTTTGCTCTTAATGATTACAGAATTTGACTATGTAAATTTTTTAAATAAGGAAACAGAAGTCTCTTCAAAGAAATTTACATTAATAAAATACAGAAGGCAATAATATTAGAGAAATTCTGATTATAGAGGTATACATCTTTGCATTTACCATTTAACAATAATTTCTAAGGAAAAAACAGATGCCATTAAAGTGTTAGAGTCAAGAAAAAACATATGTATATAAGCTTTTTTTCAGTATTATAAAAAATAGGTAAAATATTCCCATAACTAAGTAAACAAATAACCTAAAGCCTTTAAAAGTAATCTATTGCCTAGAAAAATAGTGAAAGGTGAACAGGATATGCTTCTTTTTCTCTTTATACATTTCATTTTCCTAATTTCCTACTTTGAAATGTTATTACTTTTATAATCAGAAGATAATGAGAGAGGCATGGCTACATTCGTTCATTCAAAAAAATATTTATGAAAGTTTACTGTAAGTCTGCAAAGTCCAGGAACAGGACAGTAAATAATCTTTGAGTTTTAGTTTGCTGTCTAATGTAAGGAGATAGTAAACAGCAATACAACAGAATAAAGTAAAAGCTATGACAGGAGAGGGCAGAAGGCATCATGGGTTCACACAGAAAGGGCACTCCTGACAGTGCGTGGTGGTGTGAGCAAGCAGGCAACACGAGTTACAAGGTGAAGATAGAGGGTGTTTTTCCAGAAAGCAGGACAGCACGGCCTCACCATTTGGTGCAGTATTAGAGGATGAGATGTTCATTGTCACCCATTCACTGGTGAATCTTGATTTATGTGTCATGCATTCAGCTGCTGGTGATGTGACCGTGAGCAAAACATACCTGTCCCCCTGAGCTGGTAGGGAAGACAGACATATCAAGTAATCACACAGAGGACAAGATGTTACAAATGATGAGGCTGGACAGCACAAAGCACCACAAAGCTTCCTCACAAGGGACTGGTCTAGGCAGCATGAAGATGTCCCTGGGTTTATGATGACTGAGCTGAGATCTGGACAGCAGTGGAGTCGAGGGGAAACTGAGTCAAGGGGCTGGGTTTGGAGGAAAAAGAGAAGACAGGCACAAGGCCTGGGACTGTCCTCCAATCATTCTCACCAGCCTTGGGATGGACATCTTACAGAAAAAGTTACTCAAATGAAATTTCAAGATAGGTTCCATATACTCCCACCCCCCATCTAAAATGCCATCTCTCTGTCCTTCCTATATGGAAACTGGAGTCATAAATGATCTGAGAGATGAGCTCCTGCTAAACAGGCTCAGGGAAGGTGGGATGCGGGAGTGGGGAAAGCCTTCCTGGCTGAAAGAACAGTTTGTGGAACGGCTTCCAGGCAGGAGATAAAATTTCTTTGAAACTGAAAGGAAACAAAGAGCAAGACACTAGAAAGGTAGGCGTAAAGCCTAAGGTACCAAGATGACCTCGGCATTTACCCTAAGAGTAATGAAAGGCCACTGAAAAGGTCTTGAACAGGTGAGAGACGATTAGATGTGTGTTTCTAAAAGATGATTTTGGAGAAAACTGACATCAAGTGCCTTCTGATAACACATACCATCATTTGTGTGGTATTCCTTCCGAAAAAGTAACCCCAACCTAATCGTGAAGAAATATGAGACAAATCCACGTTGAAAGATGTTATATAAAAGAACTGGCCTGTCCTAAAAGTGGCAAGGTCATAAAAGGCAAGGCCATGAAAGACTGTGAAACTCCTCCAGATTAAAAAAGTGACCAAATGCAATGTGTGATCTGGACTGGATCCTAGACCAGTGAGTTCTTCTTCTTTTTTGTGATTAAGTGGCATTATAGTCAAATATGAACTGGTATATCTCGGGGAATATGAACAAGGTACACAGCTTAAATCCTGTCTAGTATAGCGTTGATGTAAGTTTCTGTATTTTGATGACCATACTGCAGTTAGGTAGGAGAAATGTTCTTCTTATAAAACACGAACTCAAGTATTTAAATGACAAAGGAGCACTGTGTCTGTATCTTTCAAATGGGTCAGAAAAATTATATGCATACAGATAAAGAGGAAGTGAAAAAGCAAGTGTGATCAATGTTAACAACTGGTGAGAGTAACTGGGAGTTGTCTGTTCTATTCTTGCAACTTTTCTGTAAATCTGAAGTGATTTCAAAATAAAAAGTTACACAAAAAGAAAGACTCTGGCTTTAGGTGCAAGAATAGAACTGGGGAGACTGGGTAGGGGCTTTAGCAGTAATGCCTGTAAAAGAGGCGGCGGACCACTACAGCAGTAGTACTTAAGGGAGGTGACCGGACTCAAGCTATCGAGAAGGTGAAAATGACAAGGCTTATTTAATGAAAGCCTGGATGTGGGGAGCGAGGAAGGGGGCATGTGGCTTTTTTAACAGGATGCCATTCCCTAAGACGGCAGGGTGGGGGGAAACTGGAGGGTCTGCTCTCCTCTTCTGGGCTGAGTCTAATCCCGAACTCAGTTCGGGGCACGTTAAGTTTTGAAATGCTTTCAAAGGCATATCCAAGGAAAGAAACAGAGTAGGCATTTTGGATTTATGAATCTGGAACTCAGTAGAGAATTATTAACTAAAAATACACATGTGGAAGTTATTGTCTGGATGGTTACCAAGGCCCTGAGCATTTATTAAATTCCCTTGAAGACGCTGATGGCCAAGCACTGAACATTGAAGAATTCTGATGTGTGATGGCCAGCTAGAGGAAAATGGGTCCCCAAGCAGACAGAAGAGGAAGAGTCAGAGAAATAAAGAAAACCAGGAATGCATTATCATGGAGGAGAGCGGTGCTGAATGCGAAGGAGGATGAGGACTGACAAATGGGCATCGTGGCTAATGACATGGAAGTCATTTATGATTTGACCAAGAGACGTTCTGGTGGGTGGTGTGGGCAAAGCAGACTGGAGAGGAGTTGAGTTAGACGTGCTGAAGGGGAAAGCAGAGTTGACAGGAAGTTAAAAAAATTCTTTTTTAATTTTAATTTAAAAGTGACTGAGCATAATTAGATGGGAAGAAGTAAGTCAAGATGGAAAGATTCAAGAAAAAGGAAAGATTACAATAATGAAATGACTCAGAAGGTGAGAAGGTTGGAATCCAAAGAAGATAAAAGCATTCACTCATAGGACAAGTATTTACTGAGCAGTTACTATATGCCTGGAACTGTTTTAGGCACTGGGGATACAGTGGAGAACAAACAAAATCTCTGCCCTTATAAACCTTATCTTTTAGTGGAGAGGAAAGACAATATATAAACCAAGTATGAATATATTAGGTAATGATAAGTGCTGTGAAGAAAAATAAAGCAGGATGAGGGGATAGGGAGGGACTGGGAATACTGCTTTAGCCAAGCAGATCTCCAAGGTTTCTGGCCTGAGCAAAGGAAGATACTTTTTGTAAGGAACTGCTGTGGGCTGCCAATCATCCCATGAGTGTAGTCTCCCTCTGAGAGAGGAGCAATGACAAGGGGAAGAGAGAGTGGAAGCGGATTGTGCATTCACTCGGGAATACAGAATCAGGTAAAGACGAGAATGAACAGCAAAGGGGGAACCTGCAGCTAGGGCTGTCTGACTAACTCAGGTTCTGAACACCTAGGTGATTCATGCCCTGCATACCGTGTAGGCCCCCTTATAGAAATCCTGAGTACCTTGTGTTTTTTTCTCAGTAATTACCCCAAGTATATAGTTGCTTTCTTAACACAAGTATAATTAAACCTTCAACTGTGTAATTCCTTCTCCCTAACAGTCTATAAACTCCATGAGTGAAGAAAAGTTGTCTTGTTCATGTCTGTACCCCTGGTCTAAAACACCAAATGAATGAACATTTTAATCTTTGGAAGAACAGACAACAACGTTAGGCTATTTTAGTAAGAAACAACCTGTCAGTCATTTTTGTTGAGAAATATATGAGAAAAATACCTACAGCTCTTGAACCAACCGTGGATAATATCTGCGGATAGTATATGTATTTTTAAGTGTTGGATGTCATTATAAATGGATTTTATCAGCTATGCATACAAGGTAATCTGGAATTAACTTTGACTTTGTCCCCATCACTTTACTATATCCCTTATCTCAGAAAAAAGTCAATGCTTGGTTTTTAATTATAGTTTTTCTACGTGGTTCATGGGGTTATCATTATGAATAATCACTGCACACAGTGATGTCTTCAGGAGCGAATGAGATACATTAGTTGGTTTACCTAGCTTATTATGCTTTTAAGCTCTTAAATCTGCTTTAGATAGCTTTTCTGTCTCTCCTCTTTTATGTAGTATCACTTTTTGCTACTGGGAGTATATTTGCTTCTGAAAATTACCCACTTCTCTTAGAAATTTCTGCTTCTAAATAACAGCAAGCTGGAAAATCAATCTCTAGACAAGGTCTCAGTAAGAGGAAACAGTGCTGACTGTAGGCCTGGGGTAATCTGCCTGCTTTAAGACAGGGACTTTGGCTTCATGTATGATTCTATGATATCCACAGATGACTAGTATGAAAATAATGCATAGATTTCTATCAAAAAGAAACATCAGGCTCTATGATGTCAAGTCCCTGCAAAGGCAGTTAAGTGATTCTAAAATTCAATTCTTGGGGCTTATCAGTTGACCATTTATCAGCTCTTACATGAATTAGCAAGAAAGATGAAATATATATGACCTCACTTGCACTAAGCAGTTGCAGAAACATTTTACAGAAGCTCAGAAGAAGTTATAATAAAGAAGTCAATCAATAAATCAATACGACACTTTCCATCAACCCAAGCCAAAGCAGATTTTGATGAAGAACATTTTTAAGGGAACAAAGTCAACTTAACACAACACACAAGGTACTGGTAATCTTTATGCTATTGGGTACCGCTTCTCAGCACACTAGAGCTCGTTTTGTCTCAGATGCATCAGCACTTACCTTTGAACAAGTGGCAAAGGAAGGAAATTGAGGGTGGAAGTCATGTCCAGTCCACAGTCCAACATAATGGTGGTTGATTTGAATTTGAGCACATTGCATGGTAAGGTTGGGTGCCCTGACAGGCAATACTGAAAAAAAAAATCAAATCACTTTTGTCAATAATCAATTATAGAAAAAGTCTAAAAAAATTGTGAATTAAATAAAGTTGGTTATCTTCCCTCATTAGAACAGTGTGTAAACTCAGCAAACTGTCTACACGACTTCCTCCCTTCTACGGCGCTGGCTACCACTTCCCATGACATTCAGCATACTCAGAAGTCTCGGAATGTACTCAGTCTTCCTTAGGGTGCCAAGTTAGAGCCCAGGCAAGCAGAGTTTTAGAGGGGCTGAAGTTACTCCGTATAGAAGGCTTCCAGGCTGCAGTTTCCCACTCCACTCTCACAGGACATTTCCGAATTCCCACTATCCCGTCATACCTAAGTGCTGTGCAAAACTGTGGATGTCAATTAGACTCTGAGCTGGAATTTCAAACTGTGCTACAGGTTAGGTTTTCTCCTCTGTAAATAAGTCCCCTGACTTATTTTTCTTCCAGGAAGAAATGGTTGGGAAGGGTTACCAAACAAGCATCAGTAAGGAGGTTCAGGCTCAGCCTTGTCACAAGAAATGACTTAAAAGGACAAGTGACTTCCCTGACGTGCAGATACTAGACAGGAGCGAGGGACACCTATTCTCGACCAATCAAGAGTCCCTTGCCTGTGGCAGCAGACCTCAGAAATCAGAGGGGCACGAGCCGCATGTTCGAAGGAGAGTGACGAGGCAACACAACACACTGACCTCAAACATTCCTCACGCCCTCCTTGGTGTAGTGGGGAAGACAGACACGCCATGCTGAAATTATTTCTATGGCGTGTACTCTGAGTCACCTTTCGTAATTCGACTGCTGCTCTGAAGAAAGTAAATCAAAGAAGAGAGAAAAGATCTTTCCCTCGACTTTTGAAGTCATCCTGTAGAAGCTTCCCTTGAACAGCAAAGCTCCCAAAGTGGAGAGATCAGGGGTCTTCATCTCTTGACAAACACATTCTTTCTTTCTGATTTAAGCAGAAGTCAGGGCAACGGAGCATTAGTGCTCACGCCCACGTGGCCACGGGCGCTCAGGCTAAGTCCCTCCAGGTGTTGGTGGCTCTGTCAGTTCTGACACTGGATAAATTTCCTCCCCTTCTCCAGAAGACATTATAAAAACTGATGATTTTTGAAAACTGTACGTTCTAAAACTGGTAAGGCCAAGAGTCAAGAAATTGTGGGTATTCTGCAAGCTTCTTGGCATTCCAAGTTTATGTATGATAATCATATTTTCCAAGCCATAATTCACAACTCATGGCCTGAAAGGGTACAAGGTTACTTATAATGAAAACAGTACTGAAAAGTACTAAAGAAAAGACGAGGAAGCAAGATTTCAGTAATTAAACTTTACGTAAGTTCATACTTTGATAGATACCAGAACTACAGAGAACATTTTCCCACTACTCGAGGCAGAGCCTTCCCCACCACCCACCCCTCCCCATTCTCCATCTGGTTCCCTGCTGATAGCTTGGTCTTTACATATTTACATATTTGTTAAAGATAAACTATCTCAAAACGAACACAAAGCATCCTGTTAAACCTGCCCCAAACATAACAAACGTTCTAATAAGAGCTTTCCTATATTCCTCCCTTGAAAGAAAAAAAATCAGATATTCAGAAAAATTTAAAAAGAAATGAAATGTATATAATGGTTATTTCTGGGTGAAAAGACACAATGCAATTTTCTTTTTTCAGCTTGGTATTTTCTGAACATTTGATGACAAGCATTTACCATACTTTTACCATCAGAAAAAGAGTATATGGTTAAAACAAAACTGAAAAGTCAGCCAGCCAAACTGAGTAACAAAATTCATCTTTAAATTATGGATATTTTAATTTAACATTGCACCAGAAGACAGAAGATGGACACGTAAAAGCTGCTGCTCGAAAGATTTCAGGTAAAAGAAGTTAGCCGACAGACTGCACACTTGCTCCTGCCGTCCAAGGATACAGAAAGGAGAGGGACACTTTACAAGGGCCATAACTGAACGGAAGAAATGTTTTCAGAGTGTCTACTAAAAGAGTGCCAGACCCTGATCTCACTAGCTCTGATTTTATGGATCAGGAAATTAAGCTTTACACAGTTTGAGTGGCTTGTCTGAGAAGAGCCAAAGACATGCAGCAAGGTCTCCTGACTCCAAAGATCCCTACTTGTGCACTGCTCACTTTGTGGGTCAACTCAGTCAGCTAAGACACACGGCACAAGGTAACTGCCGCCAGTAAATGAAGTACCCGGCAAGGTTCCCCTATCTCTGGTGATGCTCTTTGCCCATTTATAACATGCTGCCTACAATCACCAAGCGGATTATAATCTAGTGAGGGCTATGAGATTAACACACAGAACATTAAGTAATCATGTGACTTTAACTTTACAACTAGAAATAAGTCTGTATGACAGAAAATTTGAAAACTAGCAGAAAGAAAAATATTACCCGCAATCATTTTTATATTTCCTGTCTTCTTTCACACCTGTAAAAGCTGTAATTTCAGTGCATACTCTGTTCTGTACACTGCTTTTAAGACTCACTCTGTGTTGCATCACACTTCATTTTTATTGGCTGCCTAAGTACACATACCATGCTTTGTTTAACCATTCTCTTAGTGTTGAACACTCAGGGCTGCTTCCAGTGGCTCTTTTACAGACATGGCTGTGGTGATAACTTTAGTGCTTAAGGCTTTTTCCATACTGGACTATTTCTTCAGAGGATTCCCAGAAGTGGCATTAACTAGGTCAAAAAATATGAGCATTTTATGACTCTTGAAATACGCTGCCAAAATGCTTTCCAAAAAATGCTGTGCCTATTTACAGTGTCATCAGTGATACAGCAGAAGATCTGTTTCACTGCTGACTCCCATCAGCAGTGTGGTCAAAACCAACAAGAATCTGCACCCAAATGCAGCATATAATCTTCGTAAACATCACTAGTAGCTAGGCAGGAGCAATTAAATGGCCCTAAACCAGGAAATCAACTAATTCTTAAATATTTTAAGTTTGAGAGGCAGTTTGGAGAAACGATTTAAAGCAGGGAGTCTGAAATCAGACTGCCTAGGCTCAAAGCCTGGTCATGCTTGCTATGAATGTGTGATTTGGGGAAAGTCACTTAACTTTGCAAAGACTCAGTTTCCTTATCTGTAAGATGCGGTTTCCGAAGCTAGCCTCCTAAAGTTGTGAGGACTCAACGGATACAGAGCCTGACTGGGGTATGTGCTCATTGTTGCTATAGATAGAGAATCATTACGGGGCTGAAGAGCTCACCTACATTTGGGGGGGGGCACCTAAATTTACAGCATTTTAGACAAGAAATTCTGTTCTATGTGGCATTCACTAACGTCTTGGACGTGTGTGTATCCCCTAAAACTAGGTAAAGTGAATGACAATTTTTACAAACATTGTCCATTGCTAGTTTTCCTCCCAGGAAGACACAGTTACTACTGAGTACAGAAGTGAATATTTTAGACAACATAAGGTTTTACAATTTCTATTTTTTCTAGCTTAACAAGCACATAGCAATGCTTTCAAGTTAGTTTTATTTCTACTTAATAACAAAGCTGCAGACTTCTGTGTAATGCTTTACTATCTATATTTCCTTGTGTGCTTGTTCATCTTTTTTAACCGCTGAATAAATGGAAACTGGTTTCGGAATTTATATATGTTTAATACATATAAGCATTGCTTACATTTTTTGGATAAAACCTTTTACCAGTTATACTTAATTAGTACATATATTCCCTTTCCCTCACTTTCATTAAAAAAGTTTTATTATGGAAAATTCCAAACATACAAGTAGGCAAAGTTAGTATAATTAACTACTGTTACTCAATTTTTACAACTATCAATATTCTGACATTCTTTTTTTTTGCATTCCTGCTGTTGACACACTTTTGCAGAATAGCTATTATGTTGACAAACCAATATGATCTCTGAAAACACTGTTTTCATAAATAGTCCTAAATTGACCTCTTATCCACAACTGCGACAAAAACATGAGTCCGTTTTCTTAAACGTCCTAGCAAAATTCATTAAAGATGATTCCTTTCTAAGTTATTATCAGCTTTTAACACCTCTGAGCCCTGTAATAGTTTGAATAGTTTTCTGAAATCTCTATTTTGTCTGTCAGTCTTTTTTTTTGTTTTTGTTTTTCATTTTTGCCCCCAGTGCTGTACAGTTTTTACTTTGCAGTATCTTCAAATAAGTTAGGATGACTAGTCTTCAATTCTAAAAAATTTTTTCCAAGGATGTAAACAGAGGCTACATTTAACCTATATATTTAGGGAAGGCTACCATTTTTACTATATAATAGCATTTCCCTGAGCCAGGAGCAATGCACTGCTTTCTCTTTTGTTACTATTATTTTCCCTTCCTTTACAGTTTAAAATGTTTTATTCCTTTAGTTCATAACCAACTAGTCAATTATCATTAACATAAATGTATCTTTGCAGTTTCTATTTAATTTCTGCTCTGTTTTATTGTTCTATTTCAAGTTTTATCTACCATACTTAAAATTTCTGCAGTTGGACATGTAGCTGATTAAAATTAAAATACACATTCAGGCTACAGACAGCCCTCTAAGTGATACTCTGGATGCATTTTATAAGTTTATATTGTTTTCAATTTATCCATTTCTAAATACTATGTGATTTCCATTGTGATTTCTTCTCTGAGCCACAAAGAAGTGTGTGTTGTGTGTGTGCACGTGTGTTTGGTTTAATTTCCAAATATAAAGGTTGTAATGATTATCTTTTGGTTATTGATTTCTAATTTTCTTATGGTCAGAGAACAGATTTTGTACATAACTTTTTGATATTGAAACTTCCTTTTGATTCTCTACATGTGAATAGTTGTTTTTTTTTAACAAATGATCCAGTGTGTATGAAAATTGCAAATGTATAATCTAATTGTTGTACACAGAGCAGATTAACTGTATTATCTTATTTAAATCTCCCATATCCTTACCTACTTTGAGTCTTGAGAGAGAAGAACTTGTCTATTTCTTTTTGTAATTCTGTC